TCAGAGCGCAGAAACGAAAAAACAAACCTAAAGCAAATGCCAAAAAAATATCATTTCAATTTTTATGTATATATTCACACTGTGAATCGGAAAGCAAACGCGAAAAAAAACAAAAGAACGAAAGGAAAAGAAGTAAGGAAGGACCACCACAGATAGGGGAAGCACGGTGAGGATGACGTGGATGGTCACAATGACACCCAGGAACAGGTACTTCAGCAAGCATCCTCCTTGCTGCTCCGTGGTTGGACCTCCACATCCTTTTCCCTGACGTTGTCCACATTCTCCTCATTCCACTCCTCATTCGTTTCCTTTCTCTCTTCTTCGTTTCCCTTGTACTTGCTCTCATCATCCTCCCTCCCCTCATCCGCCTTATCTGCCCCATTTTCACCTTCGTCGTCCTTGTTGCCCTTACCGTCTCGCTCGTCATACTCACGACCAGTATCCTCTTCGTCATCGTCGTCCTCACTATCGTCGCCGTCGTTTCCAGCCACACCCTCGTCCTCCAAAAAACCTTCATGCTCATGCACTGCGTGTTGGTGGCCTTCAAAGTCGGAAACAATTGCGCCGAAAACACCAAGATCATCGTGCTCGACCCCGAACCGCTCATGACCTTGAGGTCGTGTCGGACCAACATGTTCACGGGTGACATCACATGCAACGGGCACGTCGCAAGGGCGCACTCCAATGACTCCACTAGTCGGTCTCGGTGTTCTACACCTACGGGCGTTATGGCCATTGACACCGCAAAGGGAACACTTCTGCTTCGTTTCCTGTGGCCTGTGTACTCTCCCTCCCTCCAAACAACCTTTGATTCGACTCCCTTTTGGAGGGCGCCCTTTCTGGCGCCTTGTTGCAGGTGGCAGGATGACGGGCTCAATTTCCAGGGAGGGTTTTGCACATGCAAAACATGTAGGGTACACAATGTCGGCGTACGTAGCTCACAAAGCTCCCGTTGTGTAAAAATGGTCTATGTACATTCCAATATCTTCTCGCCGCGAAATGATGGCAGCTGCAGCGTGAGCGCACGGACGATGCATGTCCTTCCAAAAGCGTCAATTGCACAACACTTTTCTTTCTTCAAACTCCGTCCGCCACGACTGCCACCGACCTTGTGAATCGTTCAAGTACACTTCATACACATCTCGTGCAACTTTTCGAATGGAATATTTCCTTGCCAACTGCAAAGTAATGGTGAGGATGTCTTCCACGACCTCAGGGTGATCCCCCACCTGCGCGTCCGCCGCATCTCTTCTCTTTGTGTGCCATCTCTGCAACCAACCTCGGTACTCCTCGATAAGTGGGATCGGCGGCATCCTCCGAGCCTTCAAGAATCTGTTGTACATTGACTCGGCAACTTGCGATGTTACCTTCTCATATCGTGGAGAAGGGAAATGAGGCTCTCCCCAATGTTTCTTGTCCGCTTTCTTGAAGATCTTCTCCACAATGTTCTTGTCTTTCGAAAAGTCCACGACGCGCTGCATGTAGTAGTCAAACACTATATCGCTGGTGTTTCACGCTGCTTCAAGGAGCATCTTTGCCTGCTCTTTGTTGACCCGCAAACTCTTTAGCAAGTTATCGCTCACGTGACGAACACAATCCGCGTGGCGGTCATCATCGAATTCTTCGCTAACCGCCGGAATGAGTCCTTTGTCGCGGTCGGACATTATCGTGATCATGTCGTGAGGCACGTGAGCGGCATCACAGACACACTTCAGAAGAACCAAAAACCATTYCCAATTCTTCTTGTTTTCTGCGTCAACAACTGCATACGCAACGGGRAAACATTGGGCGTTCGCGTCTCGTGCAATTGCACCGAGAAGGCAGCACTCGTACTTCCCCCTAATATGCGCCCCGTCCAGCACAAGCAACGACCTGAAGTGTGCAAATCCATTCACCGAAGCAGTGAATGCAAAAAGGATGCTGACAAACACATTGCCATTACATTCCAGTTCGATGATGGACCCTGGGTTGGCCTCACGCACGACCCTGCAGTACGTGTGCAAATGAGTATACCCGGCCTCCGGAGCGCCTTTTAATTCCTCGACCACTCTCGCCCGTGCTCTGACGCACTTGCTGTAGCTGACGGGGTTTTCAATCGTTCCCGCAAACCATTTCATTAAATCAGACGCGGTAGTTTCGATCTTCTCTTGTAATTTCTTTCGCACCATCAGCTCCACCCACTTCACCTTTGCGTGTTTATTGCCTGCTGCTTCCCGAACCGGCGCTCTGCAACTGGGGTGATGCGGGGTGAGACTAACAATCTCAGTCGGGCCATTCACATGTGTTGCTCTACCCTCCAGCTCCCACGGGCAGTCGGGATTATTGCAGATGACGTGAAAACGGGTGCGGTGCGATCTTCTCCGCTTGTACTGAAAAACCTTCGCAACGGCGACAAACTGAACTGTTTCACGCAAGGCGTCCATAGACTCATAACTACATCCCACCTAGAACGGCCGCACTTCTCCAGTAATAGTATATTGCGTAGGAGGTGTGGTGCGCATTGCCATATTGGGGCTCACCACCTCGTCGTCCGACGAGAAAGCCTCTCGATCTGACGACTCATATGCAGCCACCATGTTTGTACTCTTCTCTGTTTGGATCCAACGCGTGCTCCGATCGCTGCAGATGGCTCACTCTCCGGATTGCACAGGCGCTGAGGAACTGTCTCCCAATGTCGAAGACTCCCGGAAATTCATGAATCTTCGCAAGCATGTAACATCCGCATGCAGAACATCACCTTCGACAACCAAAGGCTCAGCAACTTCGAAGAGGTCAGCGCCCGCTGGTGTGCCGTCCAATACAACGTCCTCGAAACGTGAATTGGGGACGTGTGGCGAATGATGTGGATCAGTGCGACCACCGTCTTGTTCGGCACCTGTGGAATCGAACGACAGCCCTGGCGACGACCTCAGTATGCGATTTCGGAGTGTCGATCGGGCCTGCACCTCCCCTGTATCACGAGCCATAGCAAACGAACCGTCCACTCGAATATGGAATCCAGTTTCCTGTTCCTGTGGTCCAGCACTTCCTGCACCAGCTTGAGTGCCTTCGGATGGTGTTATATGAGACTGCTGACGCCCCGAACTCATTCTAGAGCATGGTCTGTGATGCTCCCCACGGATCGACGACCCACATGATTGCTCAACCGCGGGAGGTGGTGTGGAAGGATAATCCATAAGACTGCGGTGAGCTGCAAGGGTGCGATAGGAGATGTATTTTTGACGCATCGGTTCCTTTTGATGCATGGCAATGTTTGATGGTGGATTGTCGAGTGGTGTCGCGAATGACGTCGGTGGTGTGTTGTGCATGCAGGGTGGAAAATACGGGTCATGAGTTATGACCATGGACAAACTGATTCAACGAGGTGGGGCACATGTAGGCGGGGTAGTGCAACGGGACGGTGTGGCGCGGACTGTACGGAAAGGTGGGCAGGTGAGGAGACGGCGTATGGAATAGAGTTGCATAGTGGGGAAAATTGTGAACCCAAGGACTGTGGCCAGGAAGCGGCCGTGGTGGAGGCAAAGGAGAGCGAATCGCAGAAACAGAGGAAGGCCTATCTAGGAGAGCTTGGGAGTAGACCACGCGATTCATTGCGGGTGAAGCAAGTTGTTGTATGAATCTCGAGAAATCACCAGCACGGGAGCATGCTGCCCTGGTGTCGTCCAGAAACGTTGTCAGGTTCTCGCGAGGCTCGTCGTGCGCTAGACCCATTGCACGCTGCGTGAGACAGAGTGTGAGCAGTGCATATAAGAACTTGGTACGTGAAACCGACAATAGTCAGCAAATGTAACTTTATGTAAGTGTATTGAAAATGACACAAAGACATTCCATTCCAAAGGCATATCCGAGGTCTCCAGCACCCAACACTTGTGCGACTACTACAGTGGTACCGGCCTACCTGCTACTTGACTGTTTTTCCCGATGCTCTAAGTGTCGCGGGCCTGCCCCCGCTACTGCAGTGTTTTCCTCGCTGCAACCCTCAAACTCAGGGCCACAGGCAAGCACCGGCCCTACCGGGCCTCTTAACGAACAAGTACCCTTGCGGGTCACACACACACTCAGGCCCATAAGAACTCAGCAGACACCCACACAAACAAGAAGACCAGCAGGCACGCACACACACAGACTTATAAACAACGTCAGAATGCGGGAATCTCAACAACGCATACATTACAGCAGCAAAACAATCGAAATTAGAGGTCTTCTCAGTCTGTGTGTTGGCGGGTTATATATATATATATATATATATATGAAACGGTTTTCACCTTTGCAGTAGCAGATGCACATCCCAGGGCTTGATCACAGAGCTTGACAAGGGACGATATGCCTATTCTGGGCTTCTCACGAAACTGAGAAATTCAGGAATTTGCGCACCGGCAGTTGGTTGAGAGGGCCCAGGCATTGCCTCCCTTCTTCGAAATGTCTCTGAGGCGGGCACTGGGCTRGACACGGGGCACAGGCTGCACACAGGCCGCTGGCAGTTGGACACGGGTAACCAGCACTGGCAGCACAGGCATTGTGCCTGATTCTCTTGGACAGGGCTCAGCCACTTGGGGCCTACAGGAAGTTTCTGGGCAGGGGCCCAGCACCGCCACGCAGCACTTCGCAGGTAGGCCACTTCCTTATAGGAAAGTGCCTGCCTCCACATTCGTCATTCGGGCACTTGCTACATGTTGTGCAAGCGCTGCTGCGCTATAACCTGGCAAGCGCCCACATGCTGTCGCATACCGCAATGTTGCAGACCAGAACAAGAACCGACCTCTCTCACATAGTACATGATAGCGCAGCAGAAGGCTAAAATACCAATGATCAACCCAATCAATGTCGCAATGCAGACCAAACATATGTCATCATCATCACATGGTGTGAAGGGGTCTGGCGCCCACACAGGAAGAATGCGCCAGTCCACAAACATACACAGACGAAGAGGACGGGGATTAGACGAAGAAGAGGGGGGCAGATGGGAATGCCGTGAACATCAAGTCTTCGGTACACGTCCCAAAAAAATTGCCCTGAAACCTAGGCACCAGACMAGGGTTTTAGGCACAGGCTATTTTTGGCCTATTCTCAAGACAACCTTTGTTTGAGCTTCAACGCCAGAGTCTGGCACGTTATGGCATTGGCAAGTGCAACATCTTGGACAGGCCAGCACTATATAGGACTGGTCCGCCCTGCAGGCCATGGGTACTGAGAGGTACTTCATAGGAACTTCCCAGGCACTTCACATGCAGTTCAGGGGGCAGGCAGTAGTCTTCAGGATTCGGCAACAGCACTCTGGAGGAGCGCTGCAGGAGTGGTGGTAGCGCTAGCAATAGTCTTCAGCGCTGGGCGCTAGTAGCATTAGCAGCAGTCTTCAGTGCTGGGCGCTAGTACGGGCTACAGTAGTGTTCGAGAGAGAGAGAGAGATGGTTGGCGGAGGACAGGGAGACTTACCTGTGCCTCGATAGCTCCAGCTTCATCTTCGAGGTACCTGCAACAAGACGCCACTTCCACAGGTTAGTACCGGACTGAGAGAGAGAGAGAGAGAGAGAGAGAGAGAGAGAGAGAGAGAGAGAGAGAGAGAGAGAGAGAGAGAGAGAGAGAGT